CTGTAGTAAATGCTTTATTGTATGCTGTGAGACATAAAAGATGATATACAAATAGCTTTGATCAGAACATTCTGGGACAATTAAGAGTAAAATATAGAACTTTTGCTATGCCAGGTATTATCATTCTGAGTGCAATAAAATTTCTCATTGTTACAGTTAATTGTAAATGTGTTGGGAGTTGCCATTATTTTGCGTACAATAAAACTTAATTTTAAGGTAATTATACAGTTCATGGCAGTAATTAATTCTCTGAATTTCAGAATGTTAAATAATTCAAAACTATTTTAGAAATTAAACTCTCAATTTTAAAATGTTCGTACTCTTTTATTATCGTCTAGTAACTGCAACTTCATATCAGTAATCCCGAAACTGCAAATTCACAGCCATAATGTTCAATAATTAATGGTACTATTTTTGTTCCTTGCATGGAATCAACTGTTAACCTTGCAATAGTTTCAGACTACAACAGCTTCTGCTAAATTTGGAATATTTGCAAGGGTCAGATCCTTCATTCCATTCCAATCATCATCTTCCTGATTTAAAATGCCAAGACAATGAACTTTATTTAGAAGCCAGTTACATGAATCATGTTTTTGCAACGACGTTTTCTAAAACTGGTGTTTAACACATAATAAAATACAACATATTTTGTATCATTTTATTCTAATATAATATTTTATAAGAAAAAATATTTAACTTAAATAGCCCTCATTCATAAGGGAATAAATTAATCATTGGTTGGTAAGACAACTTTCCAAAATTGTTCAAACATTGGGTATAAATTATATTTTCTTAAGAGTTGAACAGTATTTTTAACAGCAATGCATAAAAGCAAATGACAGATGCACATTTGACTTGCCTGATTAAGCATGATTGCTTAAGAACGTTTTCAATTAAGACTGGGCTGTATGACATGAGTTATGTTTGTATTTTAAGATATCAATAAGATGTTTAAAGTATTAATAAACCATATACTTTCAAAATAATGTGCTTTTTAAAAAAAACCTACTGTTTGTTTATATAGTACTAAAACAATGTTTGGAGAAAAACCAGATCAAGAATTCACATTTAAAATCAATTAACACTAATTAGAACTCTTTCAATTATAAACCAGAGTAAATGGGTAAGAAATCAGTGTCTCTTTGAAGACTGTAATCATATGGTTTGGTAGATATCAATTAGACTAAAGTCCACAAATCAGATGTTATTACCACTATTGCCAACTAAGTAAAACCTCTATACCAGTGATGGCTAACCTTGTCGGCACCGAGTGCCCAAAGTTAGTCTGATAGCTATTCTTATCTCTGAAAAATAGGCTTGTTAGTATGTATGAGAAAGTCAAATTTTATTCAATCAATAGTACTCCTGTGTCTTGTATTACTGAAATTATTCAAATTAAAATTATCCCTGAACTGACTGAAATCAAAATTAAAAACAGTTGACTTGGCTTTCATTGTTTCAGTGAAACATTCAGAACTATAATAGTATCATTTTTTAAAGAAAAGAAACATTGTATGTCTTGACAAGCCTCTCTTAGTTTTATTACAAATAGGTATTTTAAAATGTAGGAATTTTTAAATTTGCATTTCATACATCTTACCTCATGAAATAATAAAAATTCAAACTATTTTTGAACTACTGGCAACAAATGCAAGTTGTGCTCTGGATGTTTCTTTTTTTAGAAACAATGTGTTCTGCATGATGTAGACAGAACCTCCTTTAATTTCTGACCAAAAGTGAGGAAAGGAGGAAGATTGAATTACACATTGATATTGCACAATGTCTCTGTAAATTAACAAATTATTTTGCAAATGTTGGTTTTTCTACAGACAAGAACAATTTATTAAAAATAGCTTGCATTTGTACTAATACAATTATATTTATATTTTTGAAAAATTATTATACAATTATTTTCCCACAAGTGTTACTTTCTGTGTGACATACTAAAAAACATGTAAAAAGGTTGCCTTTCTGTTTGACTGCTTGCAATTAAAAGCAGGAATTGTTGCCTTAACATGGAATTCTTTGTTAGTGGTCATTCTTGGCTGAGGCAGAGACTACTTCACATTGGAAATCCCTCCCTTAACAGCTGTGAATTCATAAATGTGTGATTCTAATAAATTGTTTTGTAATAGGTAATAATTCAGAACCAATGAGGAACAGGATGAAAAGTAAACCTTCACTATTCCATCCTCAATTTTCCAACCATTTATCTGCCCATGGACAGTAATTAAATAAAAATGATATTAAAAGTACGGAAGGAAGGCTTAGTGATTCAGTGTTATTTTTTTTACATAAACAAGTTTTGCTGCATTAATGCTTGAACTGAATTAAATATAACTAAAGTTAACAGCTAAAGTGACTTACAATAAGGTTGCCCTTGACTTATCATTGTAATGGAGTCTGACCTTTATGATTGTAAGTCATAACAGTCGGCTCCCCTGATTTTACAACCTTTTTTGTGACCACAAAATTGAACACCACAGGTGTTAAGTTCACTATGGGATTTTTGCTGAAAACTGGAAGTAAATGCCAGGTTTCTGCAAAAATGTAGTAAATCGCAGTCACATGATCATGGATGCTGCAAACAGCCATACATGCAGGTTAGTTGTCGAGTGCTGGAAATGTGGTCACTTTGGAAGCAGGCCGTAAGTTCTGGTACTTTTTAGGGGTGGGGAGTTAGGGTTAGGGTTTTAATGCAGTTAAAAATTTTCAAATAGCTAAGAGTTAAGAATTTTTAGTGAAACCTTATAAATTCATTTTTTTAACACTGGAAAGTTGCACAGATAACCAAGAGGGTGGAAATGTGAAATAATGTTCCAGATGAAGGCCATCTGGGGGCCTTTTAACGTGTGGAAGACTTGTGGAAGAAGGAATCATCTGTGATGAGTTTCCAAGGTCTGAGCCATTCCAAGCCCTAGCATGTTTGCACTGTGCTGCTCTAGCATCTCATCCAACTTCCTGCAGCTGACAGCAGCTTGTCAGTCTGTTTGTGAGCCACCTGGGACTTGAAACTTTCCACTGGCTTCCCCATTGACTTTACTTGTTAGAAGCTGGCAGGAAGTTGTGAAGAGATTCTCAATGACAGCAGTGGAAAGCCTGAGGAGTGCTGTCACATTATTTCGTGTTTTACAACTGCATCGTTAGGAACTAAAATTTCAGTCTCAATTTCTGCCATTAACTGAGAACCACCTGTATGTTTATTGTAACATTTGAAACCAATCTGTAACAAAAGTAAAACTACAGATTGGAAATGACATAGCATATTAAACATCTTTACTAACTTTAGTTTCTATTGCCTGTGTAAGATGAGTAAGTTTGTGTGATTAATCATACTCATTAATTAACATTCTAACAGACAAATATTGTGCTAAGGAAGAAGTTGCTAAAACAAGCATATCAAATAAACAAACTTGGTTAACCATGGAATATTCACTATACTTGTTTTTTTAGCAGCTTTCATGCTTTAGATATAACTTACTAGATTTTACTTTTTGTTGTGGTATACATTTTTTTAATTACAATTTAAATTTAAAACAGGATGATTCCTTCAGTGTTTCCTAATCCTAGATTTATAAGTGGCTGAATAACTACAGTGAAATTGTAACAAAAAATAGAAATGAGTAAATGTCCTTAAGCTATTAATCATCACTTTTTAGAACAGGCCAGTAATACCTTTTGGTATTTCCTGTATCGTGCTGTTTTGTCACTTTAGAATGAGGACATTAAATTCAGTTGGGGGTTGATAGAATGAGGAGTCTTAACAATTTCACTGCTAAACATTTGGTCATGCAAAATTATACTGATTTTTCACTTCAACTAAAAGATAAAATTCTCCTATTTCTCCCTATGACAGAAAAGCAATTGGGATTTGTTCAGATGCTTTAGCAAACAAGGGGCTAGGAAATAAAAACCTTAGAAATCCTAGATTTTCAGGATTTCTGAAGGAAAAGAAGCTCTCATTACTGTAAACTCAAAACCATCATAGTACTGGATATTATAATCAAAAACAGATTTAATCAATACAGGAACTATTACTTGTCCTGATTGGAAATTAATTTTGCTGCAGTCAAACTGCATCTGGTTCCTGGATCCATTCATGCCAATGCTTCTATGTTGAATTTCTCCCTGGCTTGGTTTATAAGAACCTGCAAATGATAATTAAGCCTCAGGAAAACTATGCTATCAGTAGTGCTATGGCATTACAGATCCAAGGGTATTTATTGATAATTCTTAATGTTGCCAATATAATTGTACCGAATTGTAGATGACAATAATTTAGTAAAGGTACAACTTCAGAATACACAGTAGCACTAAAGAATGAATTATATTATACTGTACATCCCATGTAGAAAAGAAAATTTAATTGAATCTAACACATTTGTTACTTCAAATGGTACACTACAGTAGAATTTTTGTCTTTGTTTCCAATTATCTAGTCTTCAATAATATGTTTTCAATAAAAACACTGTATTTCTTCGGTTGTCTCTTTGTGTTTTTGGACTATTACTGCTTGCTCAGTTTATTGCATTATCATCACCATGAAAGTAATGAAGAATCACAGGAAGTCACATGCAGTGACTTCTTTATAAAATTAAATATTGCATTACTTGTTTAGAAAATAAAGGAGTATTATACAATAAATCAAACAATCTGAATCTATTTTCAACTATTTTAATGTTATATGAGAAAGATGGAAAAATGTATACCAAGAACCAACATGTTACTTAAATTACTGTGGATTACTATAACTTTTAATTTCTGATTTATTGAACTCATTTTGAAGGGGAGGAGATGAATTCAATATAGACAATGAAGAAACATACTGACAGAGTTATCAAAATGAAGACTAAGATTATTAACAAATTGCAGGTAAATTATATTCTAAAACACACTACCAGTAACATAATTTGTTAAAGTAAAAACAACTACAAATCATCAGAATATTTGTCTAATTGTTTTATAAAAAAGTGTGTAACAATAAAAAAAAACCAACCTACCTAATTGTTGAAATAAAAGAGCCACACTAGTTCCTGTTACTGGAAGGCTATCATGTAAAGGAGTTTGTATCAGTTGCCTATCTCCTGCTCCTAGGGAAAACAGTTTCTGTAGAAAGAAGTGTTAAGGTGCTTATTGCAAACTATAAAGTAGGCTGGATATTCATAAGAACACGGGACTTTCTATATAAACATATATTTCAAAATGAGAACACATAGTAGGAACTGACAAAAATGTAGAAATGAAGAGAACAAAAAAAAATTACTATCACCAGTTTGACTACATATAAAACTAGCTTGCTTTAGATATATATGGTAACAAAAGATGAAACTAGTTCTAAAAAAAGAAACATCCAGAATATTAATTTCAGCTTTTTCTTCAAGTAACTTGCTGGTCATTCTCCAATCAGTTAACTCTGATATACTACCAGCCTTTCCATTTTCCCATAACAAGTGATAAAACCACTGGCTAATGACTTTACCATCATGCCCTGTTTTTGTAACTTGCAGTAATGTTTTTGCTAGAAAGGAATGGTTTCTACTAACATCCATGGCTGTTTTTAAGTCATAAATCCTAACTTACAAAATACTATTTTGTTAAAATCTAGTTTCATTATCACCATATTTCATAAAAACCAGTATTTCCATAGAAATACATGGGATCCTGAAATAGTAAATTACACCAAAACTCAATAAAACTGAGGTGTGCGGAGGGGAGGGGTCAATTCCCTCATGGAAAGTAAAGAAAACATTAAAAGCAATATATTTTATATCACCAGTAATAAAGAAAGTTGGGCTCTGCAAACTTCACCGCTGATATAACACCCTGGAAAGATAATTACAATGATGAATTAACCTCTTGACCTCATTTTGGAATGGAATTTTTGCACTCTTTAGAAGTCAGGCCACTAGAACATATCTAATTGAGCTATGTTCCTTTATTATATCAAACTATTTGAAGAATTTATTTTTCCTTTCCTCATAAATTAAATTAACTGGATAAATAATCTCTTCTTTTCTCTCCTCCCCCCTTTTTTTTACCTGTGACCCTCCAGCAGCAGGAACAAAGCATGAACAGAGATTTGCAATGAGAGTTTCCAATGAGACATTCAGATTGTCCACATACACAGTGTACACTAAGCCAAGGCAAGCCTAAAATATGAAAGAAGAAAAATTGCCACCCAGAGAAAAATAAATATTAATAATGATTGGAAAATACAGCATAGTATTAAAAATGTAGCTTAAATATGAGTAGAAAAACATGTCACAAAGAATCATGTGGATAGATAACATTGCATTCTATAACTGCCTCTAAGAAAACTACCTATGCACCTATATAAACCATAAACATATTCAAATAAATCCAATCTTGAAACGGACCATGCTCTTTTGCTCAAAAACAATTACTCAAAACTGAGATAGATGATCCACTGAAGCAAGTTACAATTGCTGAACTGTAACAGCTTTATTTCTTATTTCTTTTTACTTTTATTTCTACAGGAAGTTTGTCATAATGTAGTGGTTCAATTGGATTGCTTTAACTTCAGGCTACTATTGTGACAATCTGTCTTCTGGTATTAAACATTACATGAAAGAAAGAAAGGCAATCTATATTCTTATTTTGTTTATCTACAGTAGCCTCAGGGCAGACCAAATGGCGCACTATATTGCAACAGTTTTAAATCTATGTATCTAAAGTTGGTTAACCTAAAAAAATTATAAAAATTACTATTTAATTTAAATTCAGACCTGTTTTATTGGCAAAGTTGTGATAGTTGCAATATTCTGCAGTTTCATGTTTGTGATTTCTGATGCTCCTAGGCAGCTTTCCACAAGTAAATTCTCAGAAGTCACTCAAACTGCCATTATTTTGTCCGCCTATGGTCATTCTATTTATCTGTTCAAATAACTAAATATTGAAATTGGCTGGCCACTTCATTTATTTTTCTACTTATAATATATATATGCTCTTTTTAAATGACCATAGAAAAGTCTGGCGCTGAGGTAAAACATATGGTTAGCCTATCATTTAATATTCATTCTAGTCACATTAGACTGCACAACCTTCCTCTGAAAGAATGATTCAAAGGGTTACAAGGCTGTCTAGTTTTAGTTATGGTCATAATTGGGAAAAATTCCTAATGATCCAGATATTTGTAGTTGTACTGCCTGGGGTAGACATAATGCTCTTTTTTTGCAATTCTGGCTGCTCAAATTTCTCCATTGTACAAAAATTGAATATAACTCATAAATATGGGGAACAATCATTTCCTAATATTTGGGAGGAAAAAATTATATGTTTTATTTACTTTTTCAAAAACATATACTGCATAGAAAGAATTAATTGCATTGTATCCATACAAGAAAGTCAGTGTAGAAATTAAGAGTATTGGACATAGTGAAAGACTCACATTCTAGTCTAACCATGGAAATTTACTGGATGGTTTTGAACCAACTGGATGATTTTGAATCAGTTGGGATATATTATTTATAATATCCCACCTCACAGTATTATTGTCAGGGGAAAAACTGAGGAAATACTCTATAAATTAGTTGGAGCTCTTAGAGAAAATGCAGGGTGTATATTTATTAAAAATGTGGATGTTACAAAGGTTAATTCAGATTATGTGTTAAATGTGCATATATAAAAATGTTATTTATAGGTTCTTTACCCTGAATATTTCTGGATAATCCAACCTGGACACCAATACTAGGCTTTTGGGAGCAAATACTTCTGCAGGCTGAATCAACCCAGATTCCTGCTCACCTTCAGTTACTCTTGACCCCTTGAAAAAAAGATATTTGATTAACAGATAGAAGGTGACTGTTGAATAAACAGTATGGGGGGGCTACAATCAGAAATATTACATTTAATAAATTTAAAAACTTTAAATCAATAGAATATAACATGTAAACATCTAAAAATCTTACCACCCAAATGATATTATCTGCACAGAATTCAGTACATTGATAAATGGTATAGAAGTATATTACACAAAGCAAGGTAAATAATGTGTACTTCACACAGGTTACATATCCATTGAACTTTGAAATTAGCACATCATATAGCATACCAGTTTTCAATAAAAGGGGAATTGACGTCGCCAACATGCATTTCAATAAAAGGGGAATTGATGTAGCCAACATGCATTCTAATGATTTTTTTATTCCCTTTATTATATGCTTGCTCTATATTTCTCAAAGTTATATACTTGGGGGTGGTGTTTCCCTCTGATTCTGTTCAAATCTTTTGCTTCTTTCTAGGACTTTTCAACACAGCTGCCTTAACCTGTGTGTTCTTGACACTACAACAGCTGGAAATGAAAGTGGCTTCAAGAATTGCAGTCAGGATTTTAATTTTTTTTTTCAGCTCTGGCAACAATGCCAGCTATGTATTCTAGATTGTGGTTACCATGGCCCCTGATTCATTATTCTTCTATCCATGCCAGAAATGCAAGCAAAGTTTGATTTCATTTTTATGAGGTCTTTTTTGCTGACTCCTCATGCACAGCATCTTCCCTCTGTAATACCAGTAAACAGGAAGTAAGTACCAGTAAATCGGGAAGAAAGGAAACCCCAACGTTTTAATTTCTTTTCTGCAATTTTGGCTAGAAGAAGAAATGGGCAGGACCCCTACAAATTTCATCTTGTTAAGAAATGAAAGAAAAATAATAATAAAATCCAGTCTTTCATCAGTCTAATTGGGAAATTCCCTTCAGAAGTGGACAGGCAGACCAAATCACGAAGGACAGCAACCAGTGACTAGAGGGAAGGGGTTTTACCTGACACTGCACTATACCAATTAAGCAAAAGCATTTGCCTGAAACCAAATATGGTGTTTTTATGAGGGGGGGCATCCTTATTCCAAAGAAAGCATGATGTACAGATTAAGTCCTAGACAGGTGGACTGGTCCTGCCACAATAAAAACAGAGCTACTTTGGAACAGAAAACTAGATTATTCATTTATTATTATCCATTTTCACTGTTTCTCCTACTGATCTTTGCTTTTTAAGTTCAAAATTTATAACAATAAAACAAACTGGTAGAGATGATTAATCCTTCAGAGGAAAGAGAAAGGTTTTTTTTAAAATCTAGCCAAGCTTGATTTAAAAGCTGAAATGAGTAGGATGGGAGTGTAAAGTTTTGAATCTGGATAAGAAAAATAAAAGGCACAAATATGATGGGATGGCGAGGGGAGAGAAACCTGACCTGACAACAACACATGTGAAAGGCCATCCTTTAACCATATAAGTTAAACACAACCCATTGTGAGATGCAGCTGCAAAATTGCAAATCGTATTTAGATATATTAACGTGAACAAATAACTCAGATTACAGGAAATAATTGTTCCACTCTACTTGGATCTGGTCAGACTATATTTCGAGTACTATGTTCTGAGCATCACCGTTCTGAAAAAGAGTGATAAATCGCAAGTTCACAGAAGGGCTACCAAGATGGTGAAGGATCCAGAAACTAAATTCTATGACAAACTGTTAAAAGAACTGGATATATTTGACTGGATAGAAAGATGATTACGGGATGAGTTAATAAACTTCATATCTAAAATACTTTTCCACAAAAGAGGGAGTAGGTATATTTTGTATTGCCCAAGAGGGCAGGATCAGAACTGATGCATTAATAATACAAGGAGTCAAGTTCAGGCTGGCAATCAGGAAGAACACTATGACTATATGAACTATCAGCCAGATGTTAATTAGATCTCCTTCACTAGAGAACTTTAAACAGCCTAGATCATCTGTCATCTATTAGAGATAACCTAGTGCAGCTGTCGCCAACTGGTGGGCCGTGGCCCACTGGTGGGCTGTGAGAAAATTTTGGTGGGCCACAGAGAAATCTCACCTCTAGAGCACCCCCCCATAGCAATTAATCCAGGCTGCGCAGAAACACAAGGCTGCTCAGCTCACATGGCCCGTGGGAACCCTCCCCACCCACTCACTCCTTACCTGGCAAACTTGGCTGCTAAGTTGCTATTTTTCCTTTTTCCGACCATCATCTGTTCTGCCGGGAGATTTAGATTAGCTCCTCCCTTAGGACTGAAGTTTTGCTTGCAAGCAAATTCAGTGCAGACTCACAACAAGCAAGTTTGAGAGACTGAGCTAGCCGATGGCAGATAGATAGATCACTGAATGATTCTGTGAGCAACTCAATCTGTCTGCTTTGCCTGATTTTGGGTAAAAGTTGCTCTTTTTTAAAATAAAAAATTCAATATTTATATAAATATTTATAATATTTACATACAAGCCATGCCCAGCCAGTCACATGACCATCAAGCCACACCCACAAATTAGGCCACACCCACAGAACCAGTTAGCGGTCCCTGGGATCTAAAATTATGAGTTTGGTGGTCCCTGAGGTCCAAAAGGTTGGCAACCCCTGATCTAGTGGATTCTAAACTAAGCAGATGTTGGATTATCTTTAAGATCTCTTCTACATCTGTGATTCTATGACTTGCGCTGGTCTCTTATATAGTTTCCATTTACATAAAAAACCAACCTAAAGTGTGCATCCTCGATCCTCCTCTTCAAGTGGGCAAGATAGATCAGGAAATGAAAATATCTAGAAAATAATCTAAATGCAGGACCTCTAAAACCTAGTAAATTCCTGCATTTTAAAATTCCAGCTTGTAACTTAGGCAACATTTTGGTCCTTCATGCAAACAAATGATATAACCTCCTTTTGCTAGAAGAAAGAAATGTAAACAGACTGCAGAATAGAAGAGAGTTGTGGCTTTGCAGAAAGTTGTAGCAGAACTAACAGATTTTTTTCAACATATTACTCAGCATTTTGTAAAATAAATAACATAAATTCCATATGTGGTAATTAGACAAATGGTATTTCATCAAGTTTATACTAGTCACAACCAGTATCAAAGATGATACATGTTCTTTCATTTCCAACATTCCAAGCATTATTTAACAAATACAAAATGACACAATAAACTGTAGACAATGTTCTGAGTTTCCAGTTATTGTGTATTCCCTCTCCGATGATGCCAAATTATTTCTTCACATCTATTGTAAGTTATGAACATCCTCATCCTTATTTATGAGGACGAGGAAAAGGTACTGCACAATTCTGTATATCTGGCACAAGTAAATTACAAATAATTTCATGATAACAATAAATTCTCTTTACCATTAGGAATAATCCAAAAAAAACCTCCTCCCACCCCCCTATGCACATTTAGTAACCAGATGATCACATACTTCAGCAAATTTTACATATGTTCCTGCTTACAATTTATATTGACTGTTTCCTAGTATGATTTGATTGCTTATTGTACCCTAACCTATGACTATTATTAAGTGTTGTATCTGATGATTCCTGACTCTTGATGAATGTATCTTTTCTTTTATGTACACTGAAAGCATTTGCACCAAGACAAATTCCTTGTGTGTCCAATCACACTTGGCCGATAAAAGAATTCTTTTTTATTCTATTCTACTTATCTATTCTTATTAAAAATGAACTTCCGGATATTTACCTTTCTATAAAGCAGAGCCTCCCAAATATTTTGATTGATGGAAATATTTGGAATTTAGACAGCATAAATTTGGAGGGCACTTTAAAAAACCCAGATATACATACCTATTATAAAGACTTGCCCACTAAAATAATACCCAGTAAAGCTGTTCATAATGATTTCTAATCTCTTATGAAGCCTATTACTTCATCTTCCTTCTGAGCAGTAGGCATATTTCCAGAAGAAAGCAGTGGCTGCAGCTTCTTATCTTTTGGCCCTTGGAATAGATACTGGGTCATGAAACATTTTTAGAAACAAAGACTGGGCCCCAAGCTCCTACTTGTTGCAAAAATAAAAAAAGACTAGGTGGGGCATTGATTTTGATGGCTGCCAATAATAGTATTTATGAACCTGCTGGCAGTTACAGCTGCCAAACTGGAAATCCTCATTTTGGCATTTACTGAAAACATGCTGATTTTTAAATGATTGTGTGCGGGTTTGTATGTATGTATTGGTTTGTACGCATGTGTGGTGGATGGTAGGTTGATTTATCAAAAGACAGTACATATTTTATTTAAAAAAGTATATGGCAATAGCTTCCAGAATTCCATGCATTCTTTCTACATTTCTCTGATGAATAATAAAATTGGTTATACCTAACTTACAATATACATCTGCCTTCAGCAGCTTTTGTTTAATAAAATGATTTTAATCTCATTTTAGACAATAATGTTAACTCTAATACAGTATTTTAACATTAACAGTGCTTCTAGTTTTCTATGTTCCTGTATATTGAACACAATGTGGAAATTTCATTTGTGGATTTGATAACACTCTAAATAATTTAAGAATTTTGAAGAGAAACATGATTATTATTCACAAATATTTGAACTGTTCCAATTGTGTGTAACACTTCAACCTTCCTGAATTTTTCACGTTAGCTCCAAACTTTCCTAATCCCACATTTTCTAAAATGTCAACATTTGGGAAAAGGATATCATAAGGAAAAGTCAGTCAAAATCTCCTCCAGTTTTTCCACCAGAATCCCTCCTAAATTGTAATCCATTCTGCAAAATGATGGAGCCCTTCTAATTATGAAAGAATTGAAATGACTCGAATTATTTTATGATTTAATATATTTTTAAACTGTTATGTTTTTATTAAAATTTGAATTTTGATTTTAATGTTATGTGACTTTATGCTAGATTTCTATCAAAAGATTGGAATAAATTTTATTTTAATATTTTATGCTTCACATTGAAATGCATCTCAAAACAGCTTACAACAGAATTATAAACAAATATGAAAAATTAATTAAAACAATATGCTACTTCCATCTCTTTATAGACTTAATTGGAATTTAGAGCCCTTTTGGAGAAATGAAAAATGTGATATATGCATTATACAAGCCACATTAAAAGTTAATTTTAGATGTATACTACCATACAAAAAAAAGTCAATAAAAGCCAAGTTAGGTAGAAAGTATTAATCTCTTATCAGCCCCTCTTCCATTTTTAAATAAGAACAAAAGAAAGTCAAGTCAACTCTGTATATTGAATAATTTGAAATATTGTGGTTAAAACATTCTAAGTTTATTCATATTATTGTCTAATCATTTTTTTCTTTTCTCCATCCCACCCTGTTAAAAGTATTGGGAGGCCAAATATATAATTTTGCCAAATACATAATTTTCTGGTATTTTTTTCATTGTTCCCTCTATGCCAAAGCCAGAGATGCAGTGATAATAATATGCAGTGATCACTCTGTGGACTTAACATAAGTGTTATTTCTTTGGGCTACAGAAAGGGACTGTACTACTACTGCGTTAACACAGAACTGTCACTAAAATATATACATTCAATGTACCACATACGCTTTAGAACTAAAATTGGCAAAATAATACATTTAGCTATATCAATCCTTTGTGTCAACAGCTGACAAATATCTTCTTCAACTTCTCAATTACTATCAGCATAAAATTTCAAGAATTATTCCAGACTACTTAAATAATAACAAAGGGATGTAAACTGAATTTCTCCTAAACAAATTTATTTACAACATCAATACACAGAACCAATACACTTTTTGTGGAATAATATTTGGCAGCCTGGAGTCCACCAGTATATACAAACTTAGATATAATAAGAGAAAAGAAGTGAATTAAGAAAGAAGTTTACAAGAAAAAACTTAGGTAATGAAGTTTCAAAGAAAATAGATATAACTTAAGAAATATTTATAAAACTGTTTATAATAATATTCCTAGGATAAAAAAGCTAACGAGATTAAATGTTGAATAATAAAACTGCAAAGGAAAAGGAAAAAAAAGAAAAGTGTGCTATTGTTCACAGTATTATAAGAGAATTCCATTTGATTTTAGCCAAAAAGCAATACTAAAAGGAAATGATTTAAAACACTAGAAAAAAAATTCACAAGTACATATTGCATTATCTGAATCCTTAGATTTTCCCACTAAATCCCCTCATGCCAAATAATATGTCATTGACAAATTATTTAAAAATCCAAAGTGGGTCAATTAATTCAGCAACTATTTTTGGATTACTCAGTATCCAAATATTAATAAGAAACATATTTTAAAAACAAGTTGCCAAACTGGTTACACCCAAAATCTAAACCAACATTTCTATTTTAAGGAATGCATTCATATCTAAATGCATTTCTCTTAAGGGGAAAAATATTCCATTTCATATCTGATTGATTAATGAGAAAATAAATAGGACAAAGTGTGTAATTTGTAAAGAGAGATCAATCTCATAGAAATTTTCATATTTAAAAAAAATCTCTACATAGACCCAGTAATTTAGAACCCTGCACCATTATACTTTGCATTTTATTATATAACATAGAAATAAAAATTAAGTTAGGTTTGCAAATTTGCTTTCTTCCAATTCACAACCACCAGAGGGAGCAGGATGTATAAACAAATTGGAATGTAGTAAAAAGAAACTGATATCAAATCATTTAACACCACTTAAGTGTTATGTTGAATTGTTCTCTGAAAAAAAAAAACAATTATGGGAAATATTTCAGTTCTTAGACAACAAAAGCACCAATTCAAGTAAATGTTTCTGAGAAATATTTCTGAGGCTAAATGCAATGAATTAAACACTGATACATGAAATATCATACATCAAGACTAAATCAACTGTTAAAATTTTCAGAATGTATTTAGAAATTCATTTAATGTAAACAATCAACTTAATTCAAGGTTCAGAAGTAACTGTGGCCATTTTACTGCAAACAAAGCAAAATAATTCAAGTATTGATTCCCTGCAGAGAGCTGTTCCAATTGAAATTGAATAGATATTGGTATGTGTGAGTGAATGAGGAATTTTAAGTAATTAAAGCTATAAAGAATAGAAAGGTACAAAATATACATCTATATATTTACTTCAGGAAGTATCTGTATCTATCTATCCATCCATGCATTGTATACTTGGATTTCAATAAGACATTTCACAAAGTTGACCACAATATACTTCTTGATAAGCTAGAAAAATGTGGGATAGACAGTATCACTACCAGATGGATTTGTAACTGGCTGACAAACCACATTCAATGTGTAGTCCTTAATGGAACTACATCTATATGGAGGGAAATGAGCAATGGGGTAACCCCCCCCCCCAAAGTTCTGTTTTAGGCCCAGTACTCTTCAATATCTCCATAAATTATTTAGATGAGGGAATAGAAGGGGAACTCATCAAATTTTCTGATTACACACAGCCCACCGAGCTGCTACTGTTTTCGCTGGCAGAGGGCTAGCAATACAAACTAAAAACAAAACAAAAGGATAAATGTTTCCCCTTTTGCATTTGAGCATGCAAGAAGAAACAGGAAAGGAGAAAGGGAAAGAGGAAAGAAAAAAAAAAGAAGGAAGGATGGGAAGAGAGCAAGGAAGGAAAAATCTATATATATAAAAGCGAAATACCACTCATGTATCATCACAAAATCTCCTGAACCGTAAAGCCTACAAACTTGAAATTTGGCATATATGTTCCTCTTGGCTTCTAGGTGCTCACTAAGAAAGGATTTTTCGAAATGACCATCAGAGCATTAGTATTTCATATATTATTATTAACACGCTTTGATGTTAAGGAGTTCTATTTCCCCTCTCCACCTGAAAAGAAATCTCTTCCAAATGCAAAACACAAGCAGAGGAGAGGAATTTCAGTTTCAGTTTTAGTTTCACAGCAGCAACCAGCTTTAGTACAGAAGAGTTGAGCTAAGACACACCTAGGCTCCTTGCTGTCTTCTTGTTGCTCACACAGCAAATACTGTTTCAGTGTCCAAAAAGCCCTCACAGACTGAAAGGACACTAGCCAGATGAATACCGGTGGATTCTGGTAGGCAGAGGCACAATTCCTCCCTCCTTATTTTCCTCTCCAAAAACTAAGCCCAATCACATAGTTTTGTAGTGAAGCACAGGTATAGAGCTAGTAAGGAAATAAGGAAGAAGAAAGAGAATGAAGTGGGAAGGGGGAAAAAGGGAAGGAAGGAAGGAAGGAAGGTATATTGAGAAGGAGGGAGGGTCTCAGGGAAGTCCTGCCTTAGCACTTGGCCACCACAGGTACCCCCAACATGAGTGATGTAGAGTTGGTCACGCCCACCATGACCATGCCCACCACCAGCCCTCCAAGGTCAAACACAACCCTAATGTTGCCCTCAATGAAATCAAGTTTGACACTCCTGGTCTAAATGATAGCAGTGTTCCAATATTTGAAGGGCTACCACAAAAAAGAGGGGGTCAATCTATTTTCCAAAGCTCTAGAAGTAGGACAAGAAGCAATGGATGGAAACTAATCAAGGAGAGAAACAATGTAAAACTAAACCAGTGGAACCATTTGCCTTCAGAAGTTGTGGGTGCTCCATCACTGGAGGCTTTTAAAAAGAGACTTGATAGTCATTTGTTTGAAATGATATAGGGTCTCTTGCTTGATCAGAGGGTTGGACCAGAGGATCTCCAAGGTCTCTTCCATTTCTGTTATTCTGTTACCTGGTAGAGAATGTGCTAGTAAATATATAAGGGTACTTTAGTGCCTTCTAAGTTGATTTTTTTTTAGATGCTCTCCTACTTGTTCAAGTTATGTGTTGTCATATTTACCTGCAAATCGATCTCTGCTTCATAGAATGTTAGGCAAGAACAATAGTGTCGTTCAGAGTTTATATCTGTCAAAACCACCACAAAAAATGTAGGCTGCTTCCTTTCTCTGGATAAATGCCATCCTCCGGGTTGACAAAACTAAAAAAAAAAAAAGGCAAACACAGAGAGAGTTTAATGCAAAGATACATTAGAGAACAAGAATAAAACTAATTTTATAAAATAATTAATAATTGAAAGAACATATAATTTGATATTATAATCTGACAATAAAACCAATATTGTGTGGATCCAAAATCAATTCAGAAATTTAAGAAATCCAAGCTGCAGGTATTGCAAAAAAAGTATCATTGCAGATATTCTACTGATTTTCAAAAATATCCTTTATTTTTCTTCTGGTTTTGTACCAGATTCCATTACTTTTTCAGTTTAATTACTAATATCATCTATTTAAAAAACACTGTAATTCATGTTTCATTCTGATACAAAGCTATTGATCTAGAAGCATTCAAATGCAGAATTTTTTATGCAGACTAATCCAGGTAACATATCTGCATAACAAAATATAATTTGATTTCCCACAAACATAAACCTAAAAATTGGTGTTGCATTTACAACTTTAAGTTAGGCAAATATTTAAGTACTTCTCTAATGAGATTTTTTTTAAAAAAAATGATACCCAATGCTTATTTCTGATCTCATTTCCTTATCTATAGTTTTAAAAAGAATGCTAAAATGAAGTCTGAATCAAAATAATTTGGAAAAAAAAAACCTGTTCACTCCCTGAATAAAGTTTTTAATATATGTTTAAAAAAATCCTAATAAAGCTAATGAAATAGTTCAGATGCTTTTTTTTTTTTTTTCATCAGTGGAATGGCTTAACTCCAGAAATTAAGTGGGTGCTCCATCATTGGAGGCTTTTAAAAAGAGAATTGACAGCCATTTGTCTGAAATGGTATAGAGCCTCCTGCTTGAGCATGGGGTTGGATTAGAAGACTTCCAAGGTCCCTTCCAACCGTGTTATTCTGTTGTTTCATGCAATATATTTCTTTCTGCAAGCAAATGGCATCTGTTTATCCCTTATTCCCTGATTTGAACAGGGGGAGCACGGGGCCAGGTTTCTCTGAGTTTAGAAGCAAGGTCAGGCATGGTTAGTATGCAACCAGGAGGCTAGCAGATTAAATATCACTCCAGAAGAAAACAATGGCAAATTATTTTTGGACTGTTGCAAGGAAAACTACATGAATATATTCATGAAAATACAAGCTTAACATGATGGAGACTTGATCATGCACTAAATATAAATCTTAATAATTGTGGTACTTTTTGAATAATATCTGTGACTATCTCATTCACACTTTCATTGGCCACAAGAATCAAAATTATTTCCATTAAAGAACACAATACAAAAGCATATTTTCTGAATATTTAATAAACAAAAAGAATGTTATGATTTTGTGTATGAAAATATTACATGAACTGGCTGTCAGTTTACTAAACAAGCAACATGAATGACATATTCAATGATGTACTGCAGATCACATTAGTTGTTTAGATATTTCTACTAAGTATCAGATGCATAACAGTATTATATGCAACAAAATAAAGAAGAAATATGCCCTTTCAAGAATAAATACTATTTAACAATATATTCTGTTATATTTACGGCACTTTATACAGATGTCCTAAGATTATTTATCCATTTAATTTCTCTGCTGCCTTAGTCCAGATAGATTAGAATAGAATAGAATTCTTTATTGGCTAAGTGTGATTGGACACACAAGGAATTTGTCTTTGATGCATATGCTCTCAATGTACATAAAGAAAAAAATAAAATATATCCATCAAGAATCATAAGATACAACACTCAGTGATAGTCATAGGTTAATAATAAGCAATCAAATCATACTAGGAAACAAATAAAACAATATAAATTGTAAAACATTATATATAAGATAGACATTATACAGATATAAATTATAATGAAAGTCATGTAATGTAACAAATAACAATAATAACACTGAATAGCATGTTCAGTGCACAGATTTTAATAAAAATGTGCAATATTGGTCCCTGTTGAAAACAAAATTAAGTAGTTCAAATATAAAACCATCCAATATTTATTTATTACTTTATTGTACAGCTTCATTCAGGCAAATCTTAGTGACTAAAAATAACTGACTCCACAGGAGGGAAATTTTAGCTGAAAATACTTGTCTCCCAGCCTCTTTCCATTGTACCTCACATACTTTTAAACCAGCACACACAAGATTCAACTTGAAACAGTGTCACTGATATCCAGATCCTAACCCATGAAGGCTTTTAAAGGTTATTATCAGCATCCTACATTATGAATTCCAACGTGTCAAATTCTGATAAAAGTACACCCACTACATAAAGTGTTGTTAATAGCATAATGTCATGCAGATAAACTGGTGATTCCAATACATGGTAGAGCTTTTAATCCAGGATATCAAGCTAGTGTCCCTCTCCATCCATAACAGTAATTTGGACTATTCAAGACTCTTTTTGGAAGTATTTACCTACTTTTGAATGTTAATGTAGATGACAAAGTAATCATTTACAGTACTCTGTTTAGATTTTCAAGATGCTGGAAATAGAAAACACTGAATATGGTTTCTGTCAAGTTTCTTGCATTGTTTCAATAAGTTCTGCCAATATTAGTATTAATATAAGAGCAAAAACAGCCAACTTGACTGAGGAAAGCAACGAATTACATATTGGAATTTCAAGGCTTTTTTGCTTCTAATTTTCATCTACCTTTTTTCATAAGATCTGTTCCTCACCTATATATAAAAAAGAACCTCTTGAAGGAGATTCAATGGATCCTGGTTTTCAGCTGTTGCATCTTGAACAGTTTTCTGGATCATGAAATAGCCCTATCCTCAGTTATATTTTCAAGAATTTTGCAAGCTGATTGAGAGCAGAGCTGAGCCCCGCTTAGTGTAATTGACTGTTCTATGGCTAGCAGCACGGCGGCAGCAATGGAGCCAGGAAATTTAGTTCTTAACTATTTACCAGCATACCACTACCTCTACTCCAAATAATGGAAAGAGGTTGAGTCTCAGTGTTCTATTAGCATTCATTGAAGTCCTTCTGTGAATAGCATCCTGTCAATAGCAATTTCCTAGAAACTTTGCAGAGGAAAGTACATGAAAGAGTAGCGAACAGTGCTATGAATGTTATGAGTACTATGAATGGAATGCATCAAATCCAACATCAAATATATTCTGAATACTAAAGTCAACAGTAGCACAGACAAATCTTTATGAGACAGTTGAAACAAAGTCAAATCCACCAACAGCAATTGTGAATAATAAAAATCAAGTCAATTCTACACAGACGCCAAACAAATGCCAAGGCTGGGAAAGAGATGTCTATGTAGGTGACAATGGAACCAAACAAAATATCAGCAATCAGAAATTCTTGCAAGAAACTTGCTCTTGAAATGGGCAAATGATGTTTTAAGGGCTAACAGAAAGGCTGTTATAACAAAGATTTGTCCATGTTCTCGGTTTTTGGTATGCAAAACACCAATCCATCTCCTTCAACATTAAGTGCCTAGAAATTCACTTACCTGTTCAATGACCAGTCAAGGAACTTAGTTAAAAGGTCTGTATGAGCGATATTTTTGTCAAAAAGCAATGCAACAAGCAATTTATTATCTTCCCAGATAATAAATAATGAAAGAGATAATTGAATATGTCTTTTAATTTCTTGGCTGTAGTGCCCATCTGCAGTGATCTTGGAGCCCAGGAAAATAAAATCTGTTGCTACCTCCATTTCTTCCCCATCTATTTGCCAGGAATTGAGAGGTCCGGATGCCATGATCTTACTTTTCTTAATGTTGAGTTTCAAGCCAACTTTTGCACTCTCCTCCTTCACCCGCATCCAGAGGCTCTTTAGTTCCTCTTCACGTTTTGCCATTAGAGTGGTATCATCTGCATATCTGAGGTTGTTGATATTTTTCCTGGCAATCTTAATTCCAACTTGTGATTCAGCTAGCCCCGCCTTTGTCATGATGTGCTCTGCCGAACCCCTTTCCCAATTTTGAACCAATCAGTGGTTCCGTATCCAGTTCTCACTGCTGCTTCTTAACCCGCATATAGGTTTATTCAAAAGACAAATAAGATGGTCTGGTACCATCTCTTTAAGAACTTGCCATAATTTGTTGTGATCCACACAATCAAAGGCTTTAGCATAGTCAATGAAGCAGAAGTAGATGTTTTTCTGGACAGTTAAATATCATTTGAATTATGTGTCCGTAATTTTAAATACAGCATATTAGTAATACATTTTACTTTGTTTAATGCATTATGTTTAGTAGGTAAAGGTTTTCCTTCCCTGTCCAGTCATGTCCGACTCTAGGGTATGGTGCTCATCTCCGTTTCTCGGCTGAAGGAGCCACTGTTGTCCAAAGACATTTTCTGTGGTCATGTGACCAGAATGGCTATATGCCAAAGGTACACCAAACACTGTTACTTTCCAACAAAGTGGTACTTATTAATCTACCTGCATTTGCATGCTTTTGAACTGCTAGGTAGGCAGGAGCTGGGGCAAGGAAGGGGAGCTCACTTGGTTGTGCGGCATTCAAGTCTCAAACCCAGGCTGTTAGCTTTCAGCTAACAAGATCAATTCTTTGACTGCTGAGCCATCACACTCCTCTATGTTTAACACCTATGGCTCGCAAGTTCCTGTGTGGAAGAACAAAGACATATTTCTATAGAAGGGAGAAAATGACTGGTCATTACAAGTTACATAGTATTCTGTAAAGGACAGTTATGTAATCACCATTTGCAGTGTTCACACCATTTGCAGTGTTCCATTTGCAGTGTTATGTAATCACCATTTGCAGTCAATGGGAAAGCTGGCAGGAAGTCATAGATTGCAGTCTCGTGCCATCACACTTAACAACCTATGGTGATTCACTTAATGGCTGCAGTCAGACCTGATGTAAGTCAGATGTTGTCATGTGACACTTGGCTTTACAACCATGTCACTTATTGATGGAGTTGATAGCCCTAATTGCAGTTGGTAAGCTACCACTAACTGTAGTTTACACTGTGGGCATGCCAGACTGGTATCAAATACGTCTTTATCAATAAAAATAACTTGTTGTA